TAATCTCCAATAGGATTAAAGGAGGGAAATAAATCAACCTGTTAACATTGGTTATCTCTAGGTGGTAAGCATATACTTTTCTGTATACTCAAGAACAGAAAAAATTATTAAATAACACCTTAAACCAAAACCAAACCAAACCCGTTGCGGTTGAGTCAATTCTGACTCACAGTGACCCTACAGGACAGAGTAGAACCGCCCCATACGGTTTCCAAGGAGCAGCTGGTGGACTCAAACTGGAGCCCACCAGGGCTCCAAATAACACCTTAAAATATAAAAACACAACAAGTCCCAAAATAATTCTATACATCCAGGATTCTAAAACTATCTCAGAGGAATCCAACAGGTTTGCCTCACCTTCTGTAACAGGCATGTTTCCGAAAAGATGAGAGGGTAGAAAAGACTCAACTGCTTAAATTTTTAAATATGTTTTTAATTCGGTAAGAAACTTCTTTAAAAAAAAAATGCCTGTACTGCATCATAAATCAGAGAGAATATATATAGTTCATACCAAAAAGAACTTTCATTACCTTGCCAGATGCAAATGCAAAAGGGTATTATAGGATACGGTCTTTATTTTAAGCCATGGTGGTGCAGCGAATAAAGTACTTGGCAGCCCAACCAAAAGGTCAGCTGTTCAAACCCTCCTCCAGCTGCTCCATAAGAGAAGATGTAGCAGTCTGCTTCTGTAAAGATTTACAGCCTTGGAAATCCTACGAGGCAGTTCTCTATTCTGTAAGGTCACTATGAGTTGGAAATGACTCGACGGCAATAGGTTTGGTTTTGGGTTTGGTCTTTATTCTAATACTACGTCCCAAATTTTGACACGGAGAAGTAGGCATGCTCTAAGATTTCCTCTAGAGAAATGGTTCCCAGCCAACGGTCCCAGACCCTGATGGGATCTCTAGTTTTTGCAAGGGGTTTGAAAAATCCACACAATAAAACCAAATAAACCTGTTATTATTGAGTCAATTCCTACTCATAGCAACCCTATAGGATAGAGTAGAACTGTTCCATAGGGTTTCTAAAGCTGTAATCTTTATGCAAGCAGACTGCTACATCTTTCTCCTATGCAGTTGTTGGTGGGTTTGAACTGCTGACCTTTGAGTCAGCAGCCAAGCACTTAACCACTATGCCACCAGGGTTTCTTTATCCACTCAATAAAACCAAAACCAAACCCACTGCCGTCGAGTTGATTCCAACTCACAGCGACCCTATAGGACAGAGTAGAACTGCCCATTGGGTTTCCAAGGAGCGGCTGGTGGATTTGAAATGCTGACCTTTTGGTTAGCAGTCGAGCTCTTAACCACTCCGCCACCAGGGCTCCCTCCACACAATAGCCAGGATTATTTGAACTACTTTTCAAAGATAACACGGATAACTATGGTTAAAATTAAATGCATTTAAAACAAACAAACATACTTTATTCAAAGCAGTTACTGAATTCAAAGTAGTTTCGGTCTTTGCGTATTTTCTCAAACAAATATTAAAGGTAAAACCACAACAGTTTGACAATCATTCTTGAAAAGGCAGGAAAACACAACTCAGGAGTACTTCTACCTCACTAATATCATTTCCAGTAGAACCAGGTTAGGAGTTTTGGTTACCTGTCATTCTTGAGCACAGAGAACTGGCAAAAAAACACAAGTTAAGATTCGACTCTTGGGCCTCTGAGCAGCATTATAGTGTGTGAGTAGGAGTGTGTGTGTGCATGTATTCACTAACCTCTCTAGTAACACATTTTAATATTTCAGAGCCTTAGAGTTATGAAGATCTTCCTAGTCTACAATCCGGAAATTTTTTCTGTTATAGTTAAGTCTATCCCTAGACACACAAATGTATGAATAGCCCCATTTTGCCAGGTTTAGTGATTGAATTCTGAATCAAAGAAATTTGGTTTTTAAGCCTTCTACCTTAATAGCTATAATCTGAAGGGCTTTGTTTTTTGTTGTGTGTATTGTGTGTATTGTGTGTGTGTGTGTCTGTGTGTGTGTGTCTGTGTGTGTGTGTATTTGTAGTTGCTGCTGTTATTGTAACTTTGGGATTCATCAGATAAAAGATGGGATATCCAACTCAGGGAATTTCACTACATTCCCCCAGATCACACTAAAACAATAACTGAATTAACTAATTGCCTTCCATTAACAAAATACTAAAATTAACTTAAATATTTCTTTACCAAAAAAAACTTATAACACACAATTGCTTCTTAAATTCACAACCAAGTAGGCAACATAAAAATTATTACTGCAAAAGTTAAATCAAATTCAAATTATATAATCTCATTCATAAAGACATCACAGTAATAAAACTATCATATAGCTTATAGATGTCTAATATACTACTTTAAAACGCAACCTTTTTCTAGGCAACAGAAAATTCCAACATCAAAGATGACTCATTTACCCAAAACGCCATAGACTCTCTAATACCTGTCGAACAACTCAACCTGCATACAACTAGAGAAAAAAGAAGGAGCCCTGGTAGCGCAGTGGTTAAGCACTCATCTGCTGACCAAAAGGTTGGTGGCTCAAACCCACCAGCCACTCTGAGGGAGAAAGATGTGGCAGTCTGCTTCTGCACAGATTTACAGCCTTGGGAACCCTATAGGGCAGTTCCAGTCTGTCCTATAGGGTCACTATGAGTAGGAATCAACTGGACGGCAATAGGTTAGAGAAAAAAGCAAAAGTAATAAACAATCAGAAGAGACTTTTCTTTTCAAATATGTGTCTTTCAAATTAAGAAGAGGCTGGTCCACAGACTTTGCCCTCAGAAATCCAAGTCCTTATTAAGCTCCCTCAGATGGGACCGCTTTCTAGATAAAATTGAAAAATTCTGCCAACTCTAAATTTGATAGAACTGGACTTACTCCTCGTCTTGCAGCAGGCTAAAACAAATATGATTTTAACATATTTTAATAATGAAGTTATAGTTAACTAAGACAAAGTAAGTCATCCTTCATATCACAAATACACATTCCCAACTGAAACTCCAATAACAGTAACAAATATTTCCCTTTTATAAGAATATAATCTAAATTATAACAAGCATATGTATAGTAATAAACATGCATTCTTCAAAGATCAACATTAAGGTCAAGAAATCCACTGGTTCCCTCATGAGGAAACAAAACAAAACAAATAAAGTCCTCTGAGTGTCACAGAGCTCAGAAAAGACACTGACCCAGGGGATCTATACTCCCTCTTCCCTCAGCTTCCCCGGTAAGATTCTTGGGGTACACCCCACTGGGCTCCCAACAGCATGGTAGTCCTACCATAGAGCAGGAAACTCAACTCTTATCTTCACCTAGAGCTGTGCCTAAAATATTGAGCATAGGAAAACAAGAAATGCTTCAAGTTGCTTTCTGTCAAATTTTAATTTTCAATCAAAAATCAATAAAAAGCCTTCAATCATTTCAAGAATGAAAACAATCTATCTCATGAAATAGAAGTATGCATTTCTAGGCCATTAATTTTAACTCAAAAATAATATTCAATTTTAGTGTAGTTACCTCTGCTTCTACATCCACATTTTGCTTCAAAAGTAACTTCAAAATGTCAACATGTCCATTCTGACTAGCAGCCTGCATAGCTGTGTGGCCAGCACACTGCCCATTTACCTAAATAAAAAAAAGACAAGATGATCATGTCACATATCAGAAAGACCCAATATATATATAGTGTAAATTTAAGTCCAGCACACTGTACGATTCTATGAGAATAATTTAGGTTGGTGTTCTATACATCCTAGTACAAATCACTGGAAATTATTTTCTCTAATTTAGAGAAGAGAGGCAGGTTTTTTAAAAGAGATTAATGTTCCATTGTTCAAAGAGCTATTAAAGAATTGTTTAGGCAATCTGCAAAGTTGAAAGAAGGGTGGGAGAGATGGAAGGAGGGAAGTAAGGAGGGCAGGAAATTAAGTTAGTTTTGTATATTTAATTCTATTTTTTATTATTAAATCTCAAAGTCCATTACTTCAATGAACAAAACACTGGAGTGAATGGAAAACTTTTGGAAAGATACTGGCCACTACAGTATAAATAAATTCAATTCAACAAATATACTGAATACCAGCTATTAGCGACTACCACGAAGGATACATAAATAAGTTAGCAGGAAGGTTATATACAACTATTAATTATAAAGGAGTAATTTCCAACCTTTCCTTCACTTCAGATGTTGCGCACACGCATGGTTTACCCATGAATATAGTAGGGCTTAATGTAATTCCTTAATTCCACCCCTTTCACTCCCACCCATAAAACCATAACAGATGATTAAAGATGGCAGCTTGACCACAGGTGTATATCCTATCCCTCCTGAGACCACACTAAAATGATAGTAAAATAATTTAAAAGGCAAAAAGCCATAAACACAAACAAGACAGGAGAGGTACTATCAGAAAACAAGAAAAAGCAACACATTTTTGAAAGAAAGAAAGTACAGAAGCATTAATTGACTTAACATGCAAGAAGAACCCAAAGCTTAAAGAGTACAGGGAAAACAGACAAGCCCAAAGTCTACACACTCAAGTCCCAAAGCACATCAGGGGACACATGAAAGGGGCTCACTTCAGGCCCACTCCTCAAACTCAAGGACAGAATGTTACCTGCCATGCATCTAGTCCCTGGATAGGCACAAGGAGATTTCTTCCCCTGAACAACTAAACAGTTATAGAGAACAGACCCTTACATGATGGCATCTGGAGACCCCCAGCAGCTCCACATACCCAGTCACCATAACGCAAAGTCAGCCAACAAGTCCTGTAAAGATCATAGAGGAAAAAACAGGGACAATGCCAGGGGCCCTAATAGACAGCATAAAAACAATACCAAATGTAACTAAAAATGCACAAATAGCAGAAGATAAACTAGATAACAAGGACCTCCTAAAAATTAAACACTTATGCTCACCAAAATACTTCTCCAAATGAGTAAAAAGAGAACCTATAGACTGGGAAAAAATTTCTGGCTATGACATATCTAACAAGGGTCTAATCTCTAAAGTTTATAGAAAACTTCAACACCTCAACAACAAAAAGACAAACGATCCAATTAAAAAATGGGCAAAAGATAAGAAAAGACACTTCATCAAAGAAGATATTCAGGGGCTAACAAACACATGAAGAGATGCTCGCAATCATTAGCCATTGTTGTTGCTGTTGTTGTTAGGTGCCGTCGAGTCGGTTCCAACTCACAGAGATCCTATGTACAACAGAATGAAACACTTCCCGATTCTACTCCATCCTCACAATTGATGTTATGCTTGAGCCTGCTGTTGTAGTCACTATGTCAATCCATCTCATTGAGGGTCTCCCTCTTTTTTGCTTAACCTCTACTTTACCAAGCATGATGTCCTTCTTCCAGGACTGGTCTCTCTGAAAACATGTCCAAAGTATGTGAGATAAGTCTGGCCATCCTTGCTTCTAAGGAGCTTTCTGGCTGTACTTCTTCCAAGACACATTTGTTCGTTCTTCTGGCAGTCCATTCAATATTCTTCACCAACACCATAATTCAAAGGCATCAATTCTTCTTCGGTCTTCTTTATTCATGGTCTGGGTTTCACATGCATATGAGGCAACTGAAAACACCATGGATTGGTTAGGCCCACCTTAGTCCTCAAGGTGACATCTTTGCTTTTTAACACTTTAAAGAGGTCTTTTGCAGATTTCCCCAATGCAATGGATCGTTTGTTTCCTGACTGCTGCTTCCACAGGTGTTGTCCAAGAAAAATGAAAGCCTTTACAACTTCAATCTTTTCTCTGTTTATCATGATGTTGCTTATTGGTTCAGTTGTGAGGATTTTTGTTTTCTTTATTTAAGGTGTAATCCATACTGAAGGCTATAGTCTTTGATCCTCATCAACAAATGTTTCAAGTCCTCTTCACTTCCAGCAAGCACGACTATGCCATCTGCATATTACAGGTTGTTAATGAGTCTTCCTCCAATCCTGATGTCACAATCTTCTTCATACAGTCCAGCTACTCAGATTATCTGCTCAGCATACAGACTGAATAAGCATGGTGAAAGAAAGGATACAACCCTGACACATACCTTTCTTGACTTTAAACCACACAGCATCCCTTTCTTCTGTTCGAACTGCCTCTTGGTCTATGTACAGGTTCCACATGAGCACAATTAAGTGTTCTGGAATTCCCATTCTATGTAATGTTATCCATAATTTGTTATGATCCACACAGTCGAATGCCTCTGCATAGTCAATAAAACACAGGTAAACATCTTTCTGGTATTCTCTATTTCAGCCAAGATCTATCTGACATCAGCAATGATATCCCTCATTCCACGTATTCTTCTGAACCCAGCTTGAATTTCTGGCAGTTCCCTGTCAATGTACTGCTACAATAGCTTTTGAATGATCTTCAGCAAAATTTTATGTGCGTATGATATTAAAGATGCTGTATGATAATTTCCACATTCAGCTGGATCACATTTCTTTGAAATGGGCATGAATATGGATCGCTTCCAGTCAGTTGGCCAAGTAGCTGTCTTCCAAATTTCTTGGCATAGGTGAGTGAGCACTTCCAGCACTACATCATTTGTTGAAACATCTCAATTGGTATTCTGTCAATTCCTGGAGCCTTGTTTTTCATCAATGCCTTCAGACAGCTTGAACTTCTTCCTTCAATACTATTGTTTCTTGATCATATGCTATCTCCTGAAATGGATGAATGTATCAAAAATTCTTTTTGGTATAGTGACTCTGTGTATTCCTTTCATCTTCCATTGATGATTCCTGCGTTGTTTAATATTTTCCCCATAGAATCTTTCAATATTGCAACTCAAGGCTTGAATTTTCTCTTCAGTTCTTTCAGCTCGAGAAATGCTGAGTCTGTTCTTCCCTTTGGGTTTTCTAACTCTAGGTCTTTGCACATTTCATTATACTGTGTCTTCTCAAGCCACTCTTTGAAATCTTCTGTTCAGCTCTTTTACTTCATCATTTCTTTTTGTTTTAGCTACTCTACACTTAAGGGCAAGTTTCAGAGTGTCTTCTGACATCCGTTTTGGTCTTTTCTTTCTTTCCTTTTTAATGACCTTTTGCTTTCTTCATGTATGATATCCTTGATGTCACTCCACAACTCATCTGGTCTTTGGTCATTAGTGTTTAACGATCAAATCTATTCTTGAAATGGTCTCTAAATTCAGGTGGAATGTTCCAAACCAAATCCACTGCTATCGAGTCAATTCCAACTCATAGTGACCCTGTAGGACAGAGTAGAACTACCCCATAGGGTTTCCAAGAAGCAGCTGGTGGATTCAAACTGCCAACCTTTTAGTTAGCAGCTAAGCTCTTAACCACTGTGCCACCAGGGCTCCAAAATACGGTTTCCAAGGAGTAGCTAGGAGATTCGAACTGCCAAAGTTAGCAACCATAGCTCGCCGTAGCTCTTAACCACTGCACCACCAGGCTCCTCTAGGTAGAATATACTCAAGGTCGTACCTTAGCTCTTGTGGACGTGTTCTAATTTTCTTCCGCTTCAACTTGAACTTGCATATGATCAACTGATGGTCTGTTTCCATAGTCAGCCCTTGGCCTTGTTCTGACTGATGACATTGAGCTTTTCCATCCTCTCTTTCCACAGATGTAGTCGATTTGATTCCTGTGTATTCCATCTGGAGAGGTCCACATGTATGGTCACCGTTTATGTTGGTAAACAAAGGAATTTGCCATGAAGAAGTCACTGGTCTTGTAAAATTCTATCCTGTGATCTCCAGCTTCGTTTCTATCACCAAGGCCACATTTTCCAACTACTACTCCTTCTTCGTTTCCGACTTTTGCATTCCAATCACCAATATTTATCAGTGCATCTTAACTGCATGTTTGATCAAGAAATCTTCGATTTCTTCATCTTTGGCCTCAGTGGTTGGTGCGTAAATGTGAATAATAGTCATATGAATTAGTCTTCCTTGTAGGTGTATGGATATTATCCTATCACTGACAGCGTTGTACTTCAGGATAGATCTTGAAATGTTCTTTGTGACGATGAATGCAACGCCATTGCTCTTCAATTTGTCATTCCCAGCATAGTATACCATATGAGAGATGCAAATCAAAACTACAATGAGATACCATCTTACCCCAGCAAGAATGACACTGATCCAAAAATCAGAAAACAACAAATGCTGGCGAGGCTGTGGGGAGACTGGAACTCTTATACACTGCAGTGGGAATGTAAAATGGTACAACCACTAGGGAAAATGGTATGGCGCTTCCTTAAAAAGCTACAAATAGAAATACCATATGATCTAGCAATCCCACTCCTGGCTATATACCCTAGAGAAATAAGAGCTGTGACAAGAATAGACATATACACACCCATGTTCATGGAAGCATTATACACCATAGCAAAAAGATGGAAACAACCTACATGCCCATCAATGGATAAATGGGTAAAAAAAACTGTGGTTCATACACACAATGGAATACTATACAACAATAAAGAATGATAATGAATCTGAGAAACATCTCACAACATGGATGAATCTGCAGGACATTATGCTGAGTGAAGTAAGTCAATTACAAAAGGACAAATATTACATGAGACCACTATTATAAAAAGTTAAAAAAAAAATTTCACATAGAAAGTAACATTCTTTGATGGCTGCCAGGGATGGAGGGGAAAGGAGGGAAAAACACGAACTAGATAGTAGACATACGTTAACTTGGTGAAGGTAAAGACAATATACAATATGGGGGAAGTCAGCACAACATGGCCAAGGCAAAGGAAGACACTGAGAGGTATGCAGGAATAAAAGGCAACAAAGGTAAATACTACAACGTATATAACCATGCAATGATAGTAACAACAAACAATAATTTATGAGTGGATACATAGGCAGACATGTATGCTGAATAGGTATGGGAGGGCATATCAGAGTATACACGTGCATATACAGACTAGGTTGTAGATATTTCTACATACATATTTGTATGTGCTGCACGTACAGTCATACATACAATGGAGCACACAGGTAGCACAGTCAGGGAAATTGCTTAGACATAACCAAACACTTCACGGGACTGAGTAATTGGGCTCAAGGGTTGGGGACCATAGTCTTGAGGGGACATCTGTCAATTGGCATAACATAGCTCATAAAATCAATGTTCTATATCCTACTTTGGTGAGTAGCATCTGGGGTCTTAAAAGTTTACGAGCGGCCATCTAAGATACAACTATTGGCTTTTTCTCATCTCGAGCAAAGGAGAGTGAAGAAAACCAAAGACTGAAGGAGGCAATTAGTCCAAAGGACTAATGGTCCATACGAACCGCAGCCTCCACTAGCCTGAGACCAGAAGAACTAGATGGTGCCCAGCTACCAGTACTGACTGCTCTGACTGGGATCACAATAGAGGGTCCTGGAAAGAGCAGCAGAAAAATATAGAACAAAATGCAAATTCATAAAAAAAGACAAGATTTATTAGTCTGATAAAAACTGGAGGAACCCAAGACTATAGCCCTTAGTCACCCTTCTAACTTGGATCTGAAGCCAGTCCCAGAGATCATCCTTCAGCCACATAACAGACAGGCCTATAAAATAAACAGTAACACCTGTGCGGAAAGCCCTTCTTACACCAATCAACTATAGGAGACCAAAAGGGCAACATTTACCAAAAAGCAAAGACGAGAAGGCAGGAAGGGGCAGTAAAATTGGATGAATGGCAACAGGGAACTCAGGGTGGAAATGGGAGAGTGCTGACACACTGCGGGGATTGCGACCAATGTCACAGAACTCTGTTACAAATTACTGAATAGGAAACTAATTTGCTCTGTAAACTTTCACCTAAAGCACAAAAATAATTAAAGAAAATTTCCAGATATGGAAGACATGATTTCCAAATTAAAAAGGCCCAAACATTAATGGATAAAAACAGATCAAGTCACAGTATTGTACAAGTTCAGAATACTGGCAAAAAAAAAAGAGAGAGAGATCCTCACGCTTCAGAGAAAAAAACCAGATCACATGTAGGATCAAGAATCAGAATGGCTTAGGGCCTCTCAACAGCAATTTTGGGTATTAGAAGACAATGGACTCTTCTAAAGAAAAATGATTCCCAACTTAGAATTCAATTCCCATCAAAATTTAATGGTGAGGTTAAAAAAAAAAAAAAAATTCAGACATAAAGGTAAAAGGTCTATTTCCCGCATCCTTTACCTAGAAGCTACTAAAGTCTGTGCTCCACCAAACAGAGAGTAAACGTGGAAACAGTGGATACAGAAAACAAAGAAGTCCAACACTGTAGCAAGGTGAAGGGACTCCTCAGGATGATGGGCATCAAGTATAGAAGGCAACCTATCCAGACTGGAGCACATCTGAAGGAACTGATAGAAATGTCTCCAAGAAGATGAAATGAACACATACCTGATGTCCTGAACATCCTGAGAGATTTAGAGAAGAGTTTGGGAAAAAAATTATAAGAACAAAAGAAAAAAAAAACTTCTTTAATTCTGTCAAGGGGACTGACTGGGAAAGAACACAAGTGAATTTTTTCGGATGAAGAAAATGTTCTACATATTGATAGAGGCATAGATTACGTCGTCAGTATATGCATTTGTCAAAAAATGATCCACGTATCACACTGTGTGTAAATTGTATCTCAAATTTTTAAAAAGGACAATAATAAACTCCAAGAAAAACAAGTTGTGTAGGAAAACACAATCTAAATTCCATAGCTCAGATATGAATGTCATTTACATAATAACATGCACAATTAAGTCTAATCTAAACAAAATACAATATAACCATATTAAAAAGCTAAGGAAGAGTGTATGGGTGTGCGTAGTAGAGGTGGGCTGGAGGTAGTGAAAGAAAGATGAATCCTCATCTTCTACAGTGAGGTATCAAAAGATACCTCCTAAAACATTCAGAAATAACAATATATGTATGTTATTGGAAAATGTGCAGGTAAATATGAAAAAAAAAAAATCAGCTAAAAGAGCCAAAGATAGTTGCCTGTGGAGATGGAGAAAATGGGCATGGAGAGAAAGGGGATGTTGTTTTTCATAAACAAGCACTGTAGAACTACTTTTCCCTTTAGATTTTTAATATGTATGACATTGTCTAAAAATAACATAAAAATAAATTAAAAGAAAAATTTAAGTATAATAAAATGCAAATCTGCTTGGGTCAATATAAAGGAAACCTGATTCAAACTTACTCTGAACACAAAAAACATTTGCTACTTTAATATCTAAAACAAATTACTTGTGATATATCTGACAACCAATTAAGAAATCACTGTGCTGTGGTGCTGTAACTGATCTCTCTCTAATAAAGCTAAAATGCCACATGAGCTTATAGGAAATAAGACATCTATACCTTACAATTATAGATCTGATCTTCAAACTGTCTAGCAAACTTAAAAACAAACACACAAAGATGTGGCAACAAAAGCTCCTACAACACAGTGATGATGCTTCAAATGCCACTCTCACTGCAGTCATCAATGAATGGCAAAGCCAATGGATGAATAAACTAGAACCAAAGTGGCCCATCTGAAATATAGCTTGTATGAATGGTAAAATTAGAAAATAATCTGTGAAGATCTGCAAAAATGCATGGTTTCTAACTTATCTACATTTTAAATTGTGAAGCAGTCAACTTTCATAGGGAGGGAGGAAAAAAGTTTAGAGTAAATGTTTTGAAAAGAGATAGAAAACTGTGAATAAAATTTACTAAAATATATTTAAATGACACTATAAAATATTTACATGATAAAAATTCACATTAAATATCACAAAAGGACACTAACCATTTAAAAGCCTTACATACAGAAAAGCACAAGTTTTGCCAAACACAAAAAGGTATACTGTTAAATCAGAAAATGTTAATGTATTTTAGAAATGCACACTGAAGAATGATGTCTGGGATGTGCTTTAAAGTACCTGAGAAAAACAAGAAAAAAGGAATATACGAAGCACGTGACAAAATCTTCATAACCACTGAAGTAATGGGGCAAAATGTTAATAAAACTTGAAGTATAAGGTTCATTACATTTTCTCTATTTTTGTATATACTTCAAAATAATTTTTTAAATACTCACATCCACATCTGGTCTTTTTAGCAAATCTTCCACTTTAGCAACATCTCCATTGGCAGCAGCCTTAACTAATTCTTCATTGAGGTCACCAGATTCTTGGGTTTCAAATAATTTCTTCAGGAGTTGGGAGAGTCTCTCTGTAAAGCATCAAATAAAGCTACTATATAGGAGAATGTCAAGCCTTAACTACTAACAGATAAGCATTACATATATTCCTAGAATATCTACTTTTCCTATTTTATTATTTCTACCATTAATTTTTCTGTACTGTGCTACAGATAATTATCCATACAAATTATAATCACTCGTATATCAAGCTGCATTCAATTCAAGCCAATAAGTATTCCAAGTCTTTTGCAATTCATGTATTTCAAATTTTAATTTTAGAAACAGTACAGGTTACTTACTAAAAATAGCTCAAGATTTAGAAGTCATATCAAAGATATTCTGAATGAATACACTACAATGGAAGTATCACAATGATACAAACTTCCTTTCAGGTTTCAAGCACACCACAGTGACTCTCAGAACTCTAGATACTATAGACCTTAAAGTAATTCAACAGATAATGATTATGATTCAAAAGCAATGTAAGGTTTATGATAACATTACAGGCTCTGAGGAAATACTTTAGAAATAAACTAATTTTTAGTTGAAATGGTCACTTTAAGCACTAATAGCATACTTCAACAGGTGCCAATTGATTGGTTTTGACTAAACAGAAAAGAACCAGGAATGAATTTACTTAGTCTCCTTCATATTTTTTAAATAGCATTGATCAACAGAAAAGCCACCAAGTTCTACTCCTAATTCTTAGGTCTACTTATTAGAAAAGCAAAGAAATCACAAAGTAAGGCAGGGGACAAACATCACATCCACATTATTGTGGAGCAGGATACTAATCATCCCTCACTCTTTTAATCTGTATGCAGTCAGCCTAGGGTGATGACATCCGACCTCAAGATAAAAATAAACACTACCTGATTTAAGCTTTAAGCAGACTAGTAAATTACAGCAGGAAAGAAGAGACAGAGAATAGGAGGTCACCTAACATTTTCCTTTCATTTCTTACCATTTACAGTTATGGTCCTATCTTCTGAACAACAACAGTGTACATACAGTAACTTGTAATTTGCTGTAGGATAAACTGAGTCTGTGTATATGAAGCTGGAGCATAGGAATGAAAGACCTAGGGCATGAGTCTATCCAACCATCCAGCATAATCACATGTCAACTTGGTTCTCTACTCATTGTGGCATATGTAGTAACTTAACAGAAAGAAATGTGGCTGATTTATAAAAATATCCAGGAAGAAAGCCACCTGCTAGCAATAATGTTGGAAATAAAGAAGAAATAAAGCAGTGTAAGACAGTGATGGCTCTTTGGCAGAAAACAGAAGTTCTGACTAAAGAGTCGAATGCTGAATTTTAGGTATCTCAGATCTGATGTGGAGAAGCCCTTGATATACGCAAGAAAAAAGAACATATTTATGGAACTTTTCCAGGGAGTGCCTCAACCAGAATAAGGGTTGTTCACGATATGGGGAAAAAAAAAAAAACAAAATACCTTCAGTGAAAGTTTAAAAGGTGAGTAACACTCAAATGAGGCTATGTGATCTGGGAGAAAGCCAAGAACACATAAAGTATTACCTGTGTGAAAATTTGGGAATTAGCAAAGGTTCTAACATAAACCACATTATTTTTAAAGGCACAAAACAAAAAACATACCACCAGATGCATTGCTAATGGCTGATCCTGCAGATGCCACCTTGGAAACGGCCGCTGGGTTGTATGTCCAAGATGTTCCACAAACTTCCACCTTTAAATCACTGTCTGAATAAATCTGTTGTACTCGGCCAACTTTACCTAAAGTCTTTAAAAAAACAAGTTAGATTAATGCTTCCAAGTCTAAAGTATATACTATAAAACCAATCACCAGTTTTCGTCTTTTAAAAATCTTAATTTTTCTTTGCTTCTAATGAAAAAACTTCTAAAGGATAATCATATTCAAATAGATTATTTATTAAGGGCAAGCTTTAAGGAGTATCTCTAAAAATATACTTTAATAAATAAAACTACTATAATTCCACAAGAATAAAAAGCAAAAATAAATCATGACAAAATCTATCTTATTCGTAAAAGTTCGTAAAAGTTTGTTTTAAGCTATCTCATACTACTTCAGAACTAGAAGCTCAAGTAGTATAGTATAAAATCCATCATCAATTTTGCTTAAAATAATAAAATCTAATTTCTAAAAAAAACTACTTAATCTGAAAAGGGCTCTAGCTACACCGATGTTTAAATCCTTTTTTGCAATCACTCCTGATTCCAGAACAGAAATGAGTGTTGAAATAGAATGTTTATTAAATATATGGAATAAATGAGCAATTAGGTGCATACTACAAGCCGCAGCAGCAGCTCTTACCATATGTCAGACACTACTGTTCTAAGGAGCCTTGTGGCGCAGTGGTTAAGAGCCTGGCTGCTAACCAAAAGGTTGGCAGTTCGAATCCATCAGCCACTCCTTGGAAACCCTATGGCGCAGTTCTACTCTGTCCTATAGGGTTGCAGTGAGTCGGAATCGACTTGATGGCAGTGGATTTGGTTTCACTGCTCTAACAGACTTACATGTATTGACTCATCTAATATTTGCAACCCTGAAAGGCAACTGCTACTATTAGCCCCATTTCTAACTTAGGTCCTAACCCTATTCTCTTAAGCACAAGAGAATACCAAATAACAATTATTGCAATACTGGTAAAGGGCAGTAACAATATTTAACTACTTCCTAACATAGAGCAGCGATTGCCCTCAACTCTTTTCTCCTCCTTTGACCTCTCCACAGCACATGACCCCATCTTTCTGAAACCATTCCCTTGAGTTCCAGATGCTATTCTAATATTTCTGCCAGTTCCTTCCCTTTCTCCACTGACCAGCTCCTTTTCCTTCTTCTGATCCCTCAATCTGTCTCCCAAGCTTTTATTCCTTAGTTTTTTGCTCTTCTTTCTTCTAAATTTAATCTACTTTGACAACTATCACCTTTATTCCAAAGGCTCTTGGATTTTCCCATCATCATCTCAAACTTACTTTATTTGCTTTTTCCCCACTAACGCACCCCACCTCTTCTCCCCTCCTGTATTATCTCAGTATCTATGGTACTTCTAAAAGATAAAAACTTTTTTTTTTAACATAACTATAATACAATTATCAATCCACCCAAAATTACGAGCAATTCTATAATATTATAAAATACCACTCAGTGTTCAAATTTCCAATTGTCTCATAAATGATACAGTTGTTTTTGGTTTGTTTAAATCGAGA